TTAGTTGCCCTTTTCTGAACCCCTTCCAAGGCCAAAATATCTTTTTTGAGGTGAGGAGACCACATCTGTACTCAGTATTCAAGATCGGCGAGGAGTCCTGTGGCACCTTATAGACTAACTGAAGTGTAGGAGCATAAGCTTTCGTGGGCAAAGACCCACGTAGTGGCCACTACATGCATCTGACGAAGTGGGTCTTTGCCCACGAAAGCTTATGCTCCAATACACCTGTTAGTCTATAAGGTGCCACAGGACTCCTCGTCGCTTTTGCAGTTCTTCTTTTGGCAACTATAGTTCAGTAATGTGACTTTAAGAAACTTGAATAGAAACTGAGCAATTACCTCCATTTTTGTATACATTTATACATAGAAATTAATAGTATTGAGAGAGTCAATTTCTGTCTCACCATGCATAGTCTAGCCAAAAAACATTTTTGTAGAGCAGAAAACTTTCTTATTTAAGGGAGTCATACTTCAGATTCTGAAATGTTAATGGTTTGGATACTCATCCATATGCATAACTTTCTATCTTTGTAACAAAACAAGATATGGACAGTAATAATTTTCTGTAGCCAACTTGCTGTACTTTTAATGTTTAGTATCCTAGCTTCTTGTTATCTTTTTGCATTTTCTTCATAAAGAAAGCATTAAAAATTTCAGAATTGATCCTTCTCAAATGAAGGGAGAAAAGCCACATTGTTATAGGGCTCACTCTCACGGTGCCCCATTGTGATTCTCTGGGGCACTGCTCGCTCTTGACAGGGCCTCCAGCAGTTGGTTATCATCTCTTATGAGGTCCATGTCAGTGGTGCTTTAGCCCTCCAACTAATACATGTGGGACTGGCTATCAGTAGTTCAATGTGCAAATATATGCATTTACCACCATTTTAATAGGATTGTGCTGTATAAAAATGAACTTCTGACTTCCTTCACTCATATACAGGCAGTCCCCGACTTACGTGGATCCGACTTACGTCGGATCCCTAGATACGAACAGGGTGAGGCAACTCCCGCACATGCGCAGCAGCATTCCCGGGGCTCGCTCACCTGGGTCCTAGGATCCTCCTCCTCCTCAGGCCGGCTCCGACTGGGGTCCCGCAGAGCTGCCGGGCAGAGGAAAAGTGCCTCCCCACGCCCGCTGCCCCCCCCACCCCTCTGCCAGCAACAGGCTGCCCCCTCCCCTGAGCAACAGGCTGCAGAACAGACAAAAGCAGCCTCTCTGCCCCTCCTCCCCTCTATACATGCCGGGCTCCCGGAGCGCAGCAGCGTCCCCGGGGCTCGCTCACCTGGGTCCTAGAATCCACCTCCTCCTCCTCTTCGGCCGGCTCCAACTGGCCTCTGCCTGCAGCAGCTGGCCACAGGGACAGGGATCCCGCAGAGCTGCCGGGCAGAGGAAAAGTGCCTCCCAGAGCATCCACACTAACGTTATTTTCGACTTACAAGTTTGGAAATAGTGTTACAGGCAGTCCCCGACTTACGTGGATCCGACTTACATCGGATCCCTAGATACGAACGGGGTGAGGCAACTCCCGCACATGCGCAGCAGCATTCCCGGGGCTCGCTCACCTGGGTCCTAGGATCCTCCTCCTCCTCGGGCCGGCTCCGACTGGGGTCCCGGAGAGCTGCCGGGCAGAGGAAAAGTGCCCCCCCCTGCCAGCAACAGGCTGCCCCCTCCCCTGAGCAACAGGCTGGCGAACAGCAGACAAAAGCAGCCTCTCCGCCCCTCCTCCCCCTATACATGCTGGGCTCCCTGGGCAAACAAAGACTCCACCAAAACAAACAAAGTGCTGGCCTCATTGTGTTAGCAAAAAAAGGACCCTCCTCCTAGAACCCTGGGTGGTGTGTGGAAATAAAGCTATTAGCTCAAAGCATGGTGCAGAGCTGTTTGGTATTTGATGAGTTACTCTTTTAGTCCTGAGTTTGTCACAGGGACAGAAATAGATGTGAAATCTTCTGAACAGGGGAACAGACAGCAAAACAAACATTAGAGGGGAGTTAACCTTTCCCTATGCTATCCAAAACTAAAAAAAAATGTTTGGCTAGAGTTTCCCCTACAATATGTACCAGTTCCGACTTACATACAAATTCAACTTAAGAACAAACCTACAGTCCCTATCTTGTACGTAACCCGGGGACTGCCTGTATCACTAAAGCATCCAGGAACTAAATACTCTGAAAAGCTAATCTCCCAGTGTAGGAGCAGAGAGGTTGGTTCTATTTCTGATTAGTTAGTTAGAGAAAAGGTGAATCGTCACAATTTTTTCTAATTTGTCTAATTTTTAATACAATTTTGTGATACTTTTCAAAATTTCTATCCTTGTGATCACACTTATATTATAAAGCATCTCCTAAGTACACCTGACTGTCCTGTCTATTTATGTCCTGGTATACAGATTCTCACTGCTACAAATATACAAAAAAAAAAAAAATCAGGGAATTATGTTGAATAAATGTAGTAGTAGTAGTGGCAGCAAGAAAATGTATTACTGTAGTCTGGCTTATAGGTGAAAGTGAATCAATTACAGTTTAATTTAAAAAATATCAAAAGTGGAACACAATGCAGCCCTAATACTTGTTTCAGAGGAAAGGGTCTCTAGAGTTGAGTGTACAAAAAAACAAAAACTGATGGTTGAAAGTAGCCCACTTCTACAAGTTGTTGAGCTTCTGAAAGGGTCCCTTTCCCATGTTACGCTTACTGATTATAAATTTAGGTCCAAACATTTTCTTGCAACATAAAATTACATTGTCATAATTCACCTAAAAAGAATATACCTGTGCAATAATAAGTATTTAGACATCAATCTGTCAGATCTGCCTACTACTAATTAGATTTTTGCGGAGAATTTAGCAAGCCTAGGAGCCTTAACCTGAAATTTTGCTTTATTCTGGTAAGTGGTTTAAAAGACACTTGCTTGACACAGTTGGCATCTGATTACTTGTCTGTTTATTCCCAACCAGGATGCCACTGGGAAGAGCAGGACTCGAGGTCATACATTTGCTGTGAATGAAAACCTCTCCCTCAGATTTGGCTTCTTGTCATCTTTCATTCTCCTTACTGACCACTACATACTGGTGGGTGCTTTTGACCAAAATAGCTGTCATACCTGACTTCTTTCTGTAGAGATGTTTGGAGCCATTTTTCCTAAATCACAATGAGAATAAATTATTTAATGTTGAGTTGGTCAGATATTATGGTGATGGGGCCATATAAGAAACTTCATGCATCAGTTCTCAAGTTGCACCATTCAGAGATAAGCATGCTTTGATTATACATGCAAAAGACCCTATGGCTATACAGCAAAATTATTTCTAAATAAGAACTGTTATTTTGAAATAACTTTACTAGTGTCTACACAAGCCAACCGCTATTTCAAAATTAAATTGAAATAGCGGAGAGCTCATTTGGAACTTGGTAAACTTCATTCCATGGGGAATAGCACCTATTTCAAAACTGCTATTTTGAAATAAGCGCTTTGTAGATGTGGAATAGGGGCTATTTCAAAATAGGGGGGGCCTCAAGCCCTTCCCAGGGTGCCCTGCTGGCCACTCTGGCCCCAACCAGATGGCCTCAGGCAGCAGCCACACTAGGTAACTCCTGACCTTATGCCCTGCCGGAACCTGTTCCAGACGGCCTTAAATGAGATTTAGCATCCAATCAGTGTGGATGCGCTATTTCGAAATAGCAAAATGCTATTTTGAAATGCATTTTGTGTGTAGATGCGTTATTTCGAATAAGATATTTTAAAATAACTATTTCGAAATTAGATATTTCAAAATAACGCTGCAGTTTAGACATACCCTCACATTTGCATCCACAGCTGTTCATTTTTCACACATGCATGTTTTGTGCATGCATTAGCTATGTTTTTTGTCAGAGATGTTGCGCAAATATAAGGCTGCCAAATTTGGCTTGCAGAAAAGTGAAGCCCATACCAGATTTAAAGAACGGTAGTCAAAATGGATTACTACAGAGGTGCACTAGCAGGATTTTAGGAAGGACTGGTACATTGGCTTTGCTAGAGCCAAGTATGACATTAGCAGACAAAGACCAACAGTGAAATCATTGCCCCGTTAAAATAGAAAATACCACTGATTTAAACAGATGCATGATTACAAAGGACCAGTACTAGAATAAACAGGAGATGGAATCTCAGGATTAATGTGTATCAATAGAGTGATAAAAAGGAAGCTTTAGGTTGCACTGTGACTTTTTCAAAACTCTAATGTTATTTCTCTAAATTTGTAACTCTGATATTCACCGTAAACACTTAAAACTGTAGTTTTACTCAGCACAGCAATTTGAAAATGTATATGGTGATACATGTCTTCCTATGTGAAATATATTTTTATTTTTGTGTTTATTGGTGATATCCCTCTGACTGAAAGCAAGGCAGATGTGAGCATGTGCTCCCAATAGTTTGAAAACCTAATAAAACAGATTGCAAAATTAATCTTCGAATTTGCTTTGATGCGGAAAGTAATTACTGGTAATTCTTACAACTGTTGTACTAATTTATAAATTATTATAAATGTATTACAACAGTTAGTGTTGTTTCACTATGAAAGTATTCTCATAGAAACCAGAACTAAACTGAATTTTAGGACTTAACAGGGTTAAAAAAAAAAAAGCTAGATTCATGGAGGCTAAGTCCATCAAAGGCTATTAGACAGGATGGGTAGGGATGGTGTCCATAGCCTCTGTTTGTCTGGACATGGGTGACAGGAGAGGATATTACATGATGATTACTACGTGGACCTTTGGTCTGACCCAGTATGGACATTCTTATGTTCTTATGAATTTACTGATTTTTCTCAAGTTTCTGTTTCTGAAGTCTCATTACTTTTAAACATGAATGGCACCTCAAATCTCAGAATACCTGTTTTAATTAATCCATTTTTTTCTTATTGTGTTGGCTTTCACGCAGCAGTACTTAGAAGTTGGCTACCATTTGAAAGTTTTGATTTATTGAAAACAATTTTTTTCAGGCTCGAGTACTCTTTGGGCTGATTGTTCTGGTTCAGGTCGCCTTGCTTCTTATTTTCAGGTATCTTAGAAAGCCAACACTCAAAGGTAAGAGTCAGTGTTTTGTCTGAATTTTTAAAGATGATTTCGATTTTTTTCCACCCTCTATTCACTATTTTATCCTGTGCCATAAAGACAGCAAAAAACAAATAATAATTACACTGTTGTTTACTGTGCTAGCTTTGCAAGTAGCACCTCTGTTTAACTTGATCCATTCAAGCTGCTATTTTGTTTTCAAGAGGGCTCAGAGAACCTCTGATCCATCAAAGAAAATATGATCTAGTCTATTTAGGACTTCACCTTATATTCTTTGCTTGGACAAAACTCCTGTTGATCAAGCCCTTAATTTCAATTTATGTAATGGAAAATCCTATTTATAGAAAAAGTGATGTTCTAAACCAGTATAGGGAACCTAAGGCTCAGGCCAGATGCCCCTGGCTTGCCTAGATCTGGCCCCCAAGGCTCAGTACTTCTCCCCCTCCCCCAGCACTGGGAGCCTGTGCTGGTGCTTCAGATCCCCCCCCCCTTACCACCACCACCACCACTCCGCAGAGCTGTAGAACACAAAATCTGGTGTGCAAAAGGAATGTGGGGAGTCTCTTTCACTTTCTCAATTGGGGGCCAAGTCAGTGAGAGTTTGGTTGTTCGGGTTTTTGTTTGTTTGTTTGTTTTTACTTTCGTTGGGGGGAGGGGTTCTTTGCTTCCCACTTGCGTGCAGCCCCCCGACTGATTTTTCTGTGGGTCACTGGACCTTGACTCAAAAAAGATTCCCCACCTCTGTTCTCAACTCTTTCATAGTAATGCAGTACAAGTGTGCTTGTGTAACAGCAGTTGTCCATACAATGGTTTGTCATTACTGTCAGTTGAAAAAAACTTTCCCGTTGCAAATAGTACTTCTTGCTGATTTAGATATACAGCATGAACAGGTTTTCTTTTCATAGGAGTAGTGTTGTGAACATCTATTCTCTCATTGTAATTTACTATTTTATGTGTAGTGGTAGATTTGTGCTATGATATTTGATATAGTTAATCTGTTAAAGTTTTTATCCTTTATTGTGATGTGATCTAAATGAAGCTTAAAGAGATTGTTTTGACTAAGTCCTTTTTTGTATCTGATCATGTAACATTCTTGTAGTAACTGCTTTTGTAGGAAAGTAATGTATTGTTAGATGTTTTAATTAAATGTATCAGCTGAGAACAAGACCCACCAACCAGTTCTCTACAAATAATAAATGCGGGCACTGCTGATTTCAGAAAGTCAATCCTACTGCCATAGATGAGACTTGCAAAAAGTTCTCTGGAGCTCAGTCTATACATATTTGTTGCATTACAGAATTAACACCTTTGCATAGGCTGCTGTGCCTAAATTCTCAGAGACCATTTTCTTAAATACTATTCTTGGAGATTGCCACCTGATCCTATTAAGTGTGGACTAGAATTAATTGAAAATATATTATGATTTTTAACCTAACTCAAGTTAGTCCATAATGATCCACCTCTTTGGGCTTGTATCTTTTATTGACCCAGCTTGCTTGCCTTTTGTGTTGGTGATAATCAACTTTTTCCATATTTTTCCATATTTTTCATTGCACTGAACTTATTTTTCTGTGTATTTCAGGGAAATGTTATTTACCCCTTCACATAACAAAGAACTAGGAGTTACTGGATTATATTAATAGGCAGCAGGTTTAAAATAAGCAAAAGAAAGTGTTTCTTCACACAGAGGGGTAGCCACATGCATCTGACGAAGTGGGTCTTTGCCCACGAAAGCTTATGCTCCTACACTTCAGTTAGTCTATAAGGTGCCACAGGACTCCTCGTCGTTTCTTCACACAGTGTATATGCAACTCATTGCCAGAGGATATTGTGAAGGCCAAAAATGTAACTGTATTAAAAATAATTGGATAAATTCATGGAGAATAGGGCTACCAATAGCTATTAGCCAGGATGGTCAGGGCAATAATCACATGTTCTGGGTGTCCCTAAACCTCCAACTGCTAGAAGTTGGGACTGGATTACATGATATAAATCACTCATAATTGTCAGTTCTGTTCATTCCTTCTGAAGTATCTTGCATTGACCACTGTCCAAAGACAGGATACTGGGCTAGTTGAACCATTGGTCTAACCCACTATAGTCATTCTTATGTTCTTGTAGAAGCTGCCCATTTACTCTCTTGTGTTGGTGTTCCAAATTTACTAAATATTCTGTTAATTTATTTTTCTTATTTTATATATTTTATATAAACAGTAGTATCTAGGTTTTTAAAAACAGGCACATTTTTATATGTATCCTTTATGCTCTAAATTAATAATTTTTCTGAACTGTTTCCTTCATTCAGGACCTCCAGGATTAGTAATGTTGACCTCTTTTTCACTTCATGTTTTGAGCAAAACAAATATCTTCTATTACTCTCTTTTGATATTGAGTTTGTATACAGCTCTGGGTAAGTAGCCGAGGATGTAAATTATATGTTTTAAAATGTGCAAGACTGCTCAGAGGTTTCTCAATGAAAACACTATTCCATGGTGTCCAACACGCCTAGCCGCTAGCCACATGTGGCTGTTTGGCCAGTTGAATGTAGCTATTTGGCTTGAACAATATAGCTGTTCGGCTGGTTGAGTGTGGCTAGTTCGCTATAGCAGTAGCCAGGATAGTAGCTACTGCTTCAGAACTGGTTGGATACCATGGTAATGTATATAAAATAAAAAAGTTGGGTTACAAAGTTGTTGTAAATTTAAAAAAAAATTGTACTATAAAACCAAAGGTTTATTGAAGTATTCCAAATTTCGAATGTAGTGTCTTTGTATTCTAAAATTATTCTTGAACATTTAGAACAAATTCACTTTGTTCACTTATTCTTTTAAAATAAAAGACTGAGATCTGGCTCTAGCTTGGCAAAGTGTGACTGTGGCATGTTTATCTTTCACGTGATCAGGTGTTTCCCTTAGAAAATGATACCAAAATTATTATACTAAAACTGAGTGCTCCAAGCTCACTTTCATTTGTAACCCAAGCCAGATTTAAATCAAGGCGTGAAAGACTAGTGCATAAATACAGTGCACTAGTGAAAAGTATTTGTTTCAGAAGGATAGTTTCCATGGATATACCATTTCTACCTGCAGCAAAATATTCTCTGTGGTATCAGAATTGAGAGATTAGATTTATATAAAAATATTTTCATTTCAGGGTGTTAGGGTGGGATCAGTTGATAATGCACTATGCTTTATTAATTTGACTCAGGACTGTTTATCAGGCTCAATATATGGTGTTTATTCTAAAGTGATCAGTAGATGAACAAATAGTTTTCCTAATGCTAGTTCATGCTTTGGGCTGGTGGAGTAAATCACCTTTATATTGTATTTATTATTGCTGTTGAATTTGTTCCTCCCTTACAGGACCCTGGTTTATTGGTGAGGTGATAGATGGCCAGGTGGGCACCTGTTTTTCCTTTGGGTTAATTGTTGGTGGCCATTTCCTGCAAGGCAACTTGACATTCATGATTGGAATTTTACAGGTATGAATTTACATATGAAAATTATCAAGCTGTTTAGTTGTGGGATTTTTTTCAAGCTTACTGAACTTTTGAAAGAGTGGAGAAGGAGGGTTGTGGCAAATGGGAGAAGTGATGGTATGGTGGTCAAGACTCTGATCTTTCAAACTGAGACCATAGTTTAAATGGAATTTGGTACATTACATGGAATAAATTTAGTAGTTTCTGCTTTTTGTCTGGATAGCCAATTCAGCATAAGTGTTTTAGGGCATATTTTTATTGACAGTGTGATAGCTCTCAGGAAATCTGTAGTCATGGAGTCAAAGGGTTAAGGAAGTGCACTAAACCCAAAGTTTTCTGCCAGGCAAATATGGAGGCCATTTGAGACACTGCAGAAGAAATGGCACTGTAACCTGGATGTCAGATGTGTAGAAGGCTTTTTTTCCACAGGTTCCCTTCTTCCCTTCCCCTTTGCAGTATTAGAGTCCTAGATATTGTCATGCTAAATACCCAGTTTTGCCCTCTCTCGTTATCCTCAAGTATATGCCAAAGAGGACTCTTAAAACTCAGACATCTCTATGAGTGTTTGTTAGTGCTGAAACTCATGTATGACACAGAATACAGCAAGCCATTAAAAGATCCAGAAGAGCATTTGAAAGCTTCCCTCCTCTGACAACATCACTTCTTAGGGACTAAAAACATAGTAGAAAAGATCTGTTTGGCAGCATAGTATGCAGATGAATGGATTTACCTTATAAAATCCAACAGAACACTTACCCATGTGTGCTTACAGAAATTCAAATTTATTTGCCTTTTTTATTTTAAATTCTATTTTAAATTCTATTTTTAGTCTTTGGCCATTGCTTCATATACAGTCCTTTTTTCCCCTCTTCCTTGTCCTCTTTCATCCACAGAAGAAAACAGAATGCTTCATCAGGCTTCTGGTTCTATTTTTGAAGACCAGTGGACCTGTTGCTCTGTTTCAAAGTGTAGTTAGACAACAAGAATCACAGATACTAGATTAAAATTTTCAGCTAAAATGTGCATGGGGTGTGTGCACACTTTTCGGTCTCTGGGGGAAGTGGATGTGGCACAGATTGCAATTTAACTGGCATCTGGTAGAGTAGCTGCCAATGCCTTAGTGGTGGTGAACTTTATTTTAGAAGTGACATTTCGTCTCATGTAATACATCCAAACCATCCATGCCAAATAAAGTCGAGGAAAGAACAGGGTTTAGAAATGAGAAAACTCCAAATTTTAAAAGAGGGGAATATTCATTAGGGAGTTCTATCAATATTTGCTCACTCCCCATATGAAGTTTGGACTTATTGATGCTTCTTTGTTTTCCTTCTTAAATGTCATCAATAAATCTTGGCCATAGGTTTCCTGTTAGCAGTTGCCAATTCACACTGCTCCTTCTCAGCCTTGTTGGGGAGACAGAAAGTAAAAGCAATGTTGCTTCTCTCTCTCTCCCTTCCTTCCCCTTTCCCTTTTCTTTTTCTTTCCTCTGTTTAATTTTCCTTTGACTTTTTTGAACACCAGTTTAAAGCAAAGGGTTCCCATAGATGTTCCACTTTGCTCTTGCCTCACACTTGAGCCACCATGCTCCAGCCAAGGAAGGCCGAGTTGTTAAGATTTATTGCAAATCCTTTAAATTGGTCAGTAGGTTTCACTGTTAAATAGATATGAGCTTCCACTTTCACCAACCTAAGTTTAATGCCTTCTCAATTTTCTCATTCATCAACATCTGTGGATGACTCTTAACTCCAGGAATTACACTATTCTCTCTGGAATGTCGTAGCTGCTGCTAAACCTATCTCTGGAACAGTTATTGTTCCTTCCTGTATCTTCCTGTGGTCTGACTCGCTCAGTACAGGCAGTCCCCGACTTACATGGATCCGACTTACGTCGGATCCCTAGATACGAACGGGGTGAGGCAACTCCCGCACATGCGCAGCAGCATCCCCGGGGCTTGCTCACCTGGATCCTGGGATCCACCTCCTCCTCCTCGGGCCGGCGCCCCCGCCTGCAGCAGCAGCTGGCCGCAGGGAAAGGGGTCCCGCAGAGCTGCTGGGCGGAGGAAAAGTGCCTTCCCACATCCGCTGCCCGCCGCGGTCTCGCAGCCTGCCCGCCCTGGCTGCCGGCCACTGGCCGGCCTCAGCCCGTTTTCCCTCTCCTCCCCTCTATACATGCCGGGCTCCCGGCGCACAGCAGCATCCCCGGGGCTCGCTCAACTGGATCCTAGGATCCACCTCCTCCTCTTCCTCGGGCCAGCTCCTCCAGCCCACCAGCTCCGACTGGCCTCCGCCTGCAGCAGCAGCTGGCCGCAGGGAAAGGGGTCCTGCAGAGCTGCCGGGCGGAGGAAAAGTGCCTCCCCACGCCCGATGCCCGCTGCGGCCTCGCAGCCTGCACGCCCCTCCCGCCAGCAACAGGCTGCCCCCCATCAACAGGCTGCCGAATCAGCAGACGAAAGCAGCCTCTCCGCCCCCTATTCCCACCTTCCTCCTCCTCCCCTCTATATATGCCGGACTCCCTGGGAATGTAGCAAAAAGAACAGCAGACAAAAGCAGCCTCTCCGCCCCTCCTCCCCCTATACATGCTGGGCTCCCTGGGCAAACAAAGACTCCACCAAAACAAACAAAGTGCTGGCCTCATTGTGTTAGCAAAAAAAGGACCCTCCTCCTAGAACCCTGGGTGGTGTGTGGAAATAAAGCTATTAGCTCAAAGCATGGTGCAGAGCTGTTTGGTATTTGATGAGTTACTCCTTTAGTCCTGAGTTTGTTGCAGGATTAGCATCTCAACTGGAATGAGAAGACAGTAAAGTTTACCATTCTCATATAGCCCCCTAGGCTGGAAGGAGGACACAGAGGGTGAGTGGAGACAGCTGGGGCGGAGAGGGTGGAGCCACGGGAGAATGCCTGCGCAGGTGTTCTGGAGGAGAGGACAAGGCCTCGCTGCTGCTCTGTGACCCAGGCAAAGGCCAGGGCCGGACCGAGGTGCCAGGACGCCCTGTAGCTCCTGGCTAGACCTCCTGCTGCTTCCCACCTTCAGCATCCTGTTTGCAGTGGCTGCGTCTCCACCCTGCTTTGCAGTGGTTGCACTGTAACAGTATTTGAAACATTTAAGCATTTATATGCACAGTTAAAAATAAAGAATATGTTAAGACAAACATCTGTCCAAGTTGCATTTAAAGTAGAACTCCATGCAATTTTTTTTTTTTTTAATTTTGGTTAGTTTGGTGTGGGGTTAGAGACACTTGAGGTTTTACTACTGTCTGTATCCTCATTAGAAAGATTTATTCTCATTTCCTGTCCTTGAGACAACAGTAAGTGAGGGGAAATCTACCCCAGGAAGGGAAATTCACTCCTGTAAGAGTTATCATGGGAAAAAGGTGTCTCCACTGAAGCTTTATCGCCAATCCTTTCCAAGACATCCCAAAATATTCAAAATCCAATTGTCACAGGGACAGAAAGAGATGTGAAATCTTCTGAACAGGGGAACAGACAGCAAAACAAACATTAGAGGGGAGTTAACTTTTCCCTATGCTATCCAAAACTAAAAAAAAATGTTTGGCTAGAGTTTCCCCTACAATATGTACCAGTTCCGACTTACATACAAATTCAACTTAAGAACAAACCTACAGTCCCTATCTTGTACGTAACCCGGGGACTGCCTATAATAACAAACAAAGTTAATACTTTTTTTCCTCTTCTATACTGTACATAATTTCATACCACACCACATTTTTGCTTATTTTGTACTGAGCAATAAAATCACTTCCAATTCTTATTTCCACTGAAACTCCTCTTTGCTTTTTCACTGACCAACACTGTCTTAAGTGTTTTATTCTCTTTGCTACCAGCACATGAGCACCGTTATGTTAGCTTCTGAATACAAACTCGCTGTTTTTTTCCTCAGACACAAAATTGCTGAACCAAAATAGTTTCAATTTTCTCAGCATTTTTCAAACTTAAATTACTCTTATTGTTTTAGTGTGGCTTTCTTAGAGAGTATTGCGGGCCCCAGAAGTGAGTGATTGCAAATATACTGGGTTAGGCTCCACTTCAGAAAAGCATTTAAGCCTTTGCTCAGTTGTATGTTGTCTTGAAGAACATTTTCCAAAGTCAGGGCCTTAGCCTGGAACTCTTTCTCTGCCTTCTGATTCACTCATCTTTTCTCCTCTGCCTTCTACTCTACTCATTGGTCTTAGTATCTCTTTAACTGGTGGTCTTAAAGAAACAATAGTGGTGCCATAGTTTTCTCTTTGGCTTTAATTTCTCTCTCAAATTAGTTTTGCTTTCTTGCTGTTGCATCTATTTTTAAATTTGACTAGAAACAGACAAGAGAAAAGTGAGCCCACTAGATCCAAGTGTACCAATTGGTGGTATAACATGTCAGTCTGAATCAGGGACTGGGAGTCTCCAACATTAAATTTTACTTCATAAACCATCATTCATGTAATGTTAAAATTGATAAGTCACACAATGAAAAGTTATCAAATCCTAAAAGTTAATCTTTCCACTCCATCTAACTCAGATTTATAATGTTACAGTGACATTCTGGTATAGTTTAAAACATACATTTATTAAGGAGTACATTAATGAAGGTAAGAAGACGGTACACAAGTGTCACGGGCGGGTAGGGGGTAACCAAGTATGGAGAACACCTTTAAAATGATAAGCTAACACTTCAGCGGATACTAGCTGGAGAATTGAATTAAGCCATTCTTAAAGACATCTTTAGAATTTTCTAATATGCAAGTGCAACATCAGACTTCAAATGTTGATAACTTTAGAACAATGTAACCCATTATTTACACTTTCAATTGTTTTTCCTTCTTTGGTAGAGACAATAAAACAAGACAAATGTTAGAAAGTTTCTGTTTCAGCCCTTTTTAAACCAGGTGAGCACAGACATTTCAAATAGAACAAAGGGAAAGAAGTGCCTGAAGTGTACGTGTATTTAAAAGAGAGCAATAACTACAGTGAAACCTGTGTTATCTGGCACTTGGTTAACCAGAAAATTTTGTTAATCGGCACTTTTAGTTTTGGTTAGTTTGGTGTGGGGTTAGAGCCACTTGAGGTTTTACTGCTGTCTGTATCCTCATTAGAAAGATTTATTCTCATTTCCTGTCCTTGAGACAACAGGAAGTGAAGGGAAATCTACCCCTAGGAAGGGAAATTCACTCCTGTAAGAGTTATCATGGGAAAAAGGTGTCTCCACTGAAGCTTTATCGCCAATCCTTCTTTCCAAGACAACCCAAAATATTCAAAATCCAATTGTCACAGGGACAGAAAGAGATGTGAAATCTTCTGAACAGGGGAACAGACAGCAAAACAAACATTAGAGGGGAGTTAACTTTTCCCTATGCTATCCAAAACTAAAAAAAAATGTTTGGCTAGAGTTTCCCCTACAATATGTGTCAGTTCCGACTTACATACAAATTCAACTTAAGAACAAACCTACAAACCCTATCTTGTACGTAACCCGGGGACTGCCTGTATAGCGTATTGACACATCTACATTCTAATTTCTTTTTTCTTGCCTTTTCAGATGGTATTTTTTAACTTGCCTTTGATGGCTTACCTGTGCTGGAGCCTGCTGTTACGATGCCAGGGGCACAGCTTCTGCTCTCATATCCGTCATGTCAGGCACTTCCTGACTCTGCCAATCCACCTAACCATGCTGCTCCTTCTGGCCTGGCAGGTCTATTCCTGCTATTTCCTGCAACGGACGTATGGAACTCTGGCTTTTTTCCTCTCCCCAATGAAGACCTGGCTGGTGGTGCTGACTCTAGTTTTGATCCGTAAAGCCTGGACACTGAGCTCTTCTGAGCTGAGAACATACATAGTGGAAATGAAAAACTGTCGGAGTTCTTGATGCTTGGCGAGGGTATTCAAAGTGCTTCTGAATTAAACTGTGAACTGCAGATTAGTATGGCTGCATTTCAGTACAGGCCAAGCAATTAAATGGTAAGAGCTGAAGCTGTCCCTGAATTGCTTCAGAACTTTGTGGTAATGGGGTTTTCTGTGGTACAGAGTGGATCTCTGTGTCTGACAAATGGAATGTTTCCTGAATATTGAATGAAAAATGTGATTGAATGTCATTAAAGACAGTATAGACCATAACAAATGTCTGCAACAGTGGCCTTCAGACTAGTGTCATTGTGGTTTGTGCCAGCAACACTTCTTGGTGTTTATAATGCTACAATGTATATCAGCAACTCAAACTAATTGTATGTGTGTGCATGTCTAAGTCCTCTATTATTCTTGTTCAGACAGCGTGAGAGAGTGTACTGCTTTTTCCTTTTTTCTCCCAAAAGCGAGGCATAGCTGACTAATGAGAGAGCTCTGTTGATTTACTGATGTTAAAGGGAGGCTTTGTGATGATCAGAGTAGGGAGTCATAGCAGAGGAGGAGGAAGGTAGGATATCTTCATGTATTAAAGAGCAAAGTGGAGCAGTGGGGTCAATGAATAGGGCATAGGTGTGTAGTGAGGAAACACTGGTTATGGGACTTGCTGTGTGATTTGGAGTCAGTTGTTGAACTTCTCTACTCTTCATTTGCTCCAGCTGGTGGATATAATGCACTTGGAGATTGATGGATAAAAAGTATGAAGTGTTTTATATTTATAAACTAACCCTTCCTCCTTCCACCACCTCCAGAACTCAGAAAGAGGGATAGTATAGGTATAGGACTAGATTCAGGAAATCCCTGATTGTAATTGAAGCTCTGACATTTTGGATATGTCTTAACATTTCTACCAGAGGATGTAATTCCCAGCCCAAGAAGCCATTCTAGTGCTCTGTTATTGAGCTAGCACACTAAGAATAGACCATAGGTGCAATGATGTGAGCAGTGGGAGGGGCTGTCCTCTGTTTTTAAGCTCACATTGAGCTAGCACAGTGTTTCTCCACAGGCTAAGAATTACATCCCCAGCTTGAGGTGCAGACAAGCCCTTTCTTTATGTGTCTGGGCAGTCACTGTGTTCCTTCATGACATACTTCCTGTCTTTAGAGAGAGTACTTGCCTCCCTCACGGGGCTGTCGTGAGATGCAAAATTTAGATACCTTGAACATGAAATTATATAAATAACTAGCAGTCCTGTGGGCACCTTAGAGACTAATATAAATACATCTTGAGCTTTTCATGGGTAAAACCCACTTCATCAGATGAGTTGGAGTGGAAATTACAGAATCCAGAGTATATATAACAGCAAAAGCAATTATTTGTCAATTGTAGGACCAGTGTTAATTATGGTAATTGAATCAGTCTGGTTGTGTCCACATTTACACATCTATAGCGATGAATGGGATTGTTAGAGGATCGCAGGGTCCCCGTCAATTACCCGACGTCCTCCCCTGACCCTCTATTTGTTCTCACCCTAAATAGATAAATAGAAAAGAACATAAACACTGTCAAATCAAGTGTAAAAATGTAATAAGAAAAGCAAAAAAAGATTTTGAGGAACAGCTAGCCAAAAGCTCAAAAAGAAATAAAATGTTTTTTAAGTACATTAGAAGCAGGAAGCCTGCTAAATAAACTGTGGGTCCCCTAGATAATCGAGCTATAAAAGGAGCAATCAAGGATGATAAAGCCATTGCGGAGAAACTAAATGATTTCTTTGCTTCAGTCTTCACGGCTGAGGACGTTGGGGAGATTCCTGAATCGGCACCGTCTTTTGTGGGTGGTGAATCTGAGGAACTGTCCCGGATTGAAGTGTCATTAGAGGAGGTTTTGGAACAAATAGAAAAACTTAATGTTAACAAACCTCCGGGACCAGATGGCATTCATCCAAGGGTTCTAAAAGAACTCAAATGGGAAATTGCTGAGCTATTATCTGTGGTTTGTAACCTATCCTTTAAATCGGCTTCCGTACCTAATGACTGGAAGGTAGCCAACGTGACACCAATATTTAAAAAGGGCTGTAGAGGCGATCCTAGCAATTACAGACCGGTAAGTCTAACTTCAGTATCGGGCAAATTAGTCGAAACAAATAGTAAGAATAAAATTGTGAAGCATGTAGAAGAACATAATTTGTTGGACAAAAGTCAACATGGTTTCTGTAAAGGGAAATCCTGTCTTACTAATCTATTAGAGTTCTTTGAAGGGGTTAACAAACATGCAGAAAAGGGGGATCCAGTAGATATAGTATACTTAGATTTTCAGAAAGCCTTTGACAAGGTCCCTCACCAAAGGCTCTTGTGTAAATTACATGGCCATGGGATAAGAGGGAAAGTCCTTTCTTAGATTGAAAACTGGTTAAAAGACAGGAAACAAAGGGTAGGAATAAATGGTAAATTTTCAGATTGGAGAGGGGTAACTAGTGGTGTACCCCAAGGGTCAGTCCTGGGACCAATCCTTTTCAACTTATTCATAAATGATCTGGAGAAAGGGGTAAGCAGTGAGGTAGTAAAGTTTGCAGATGATACCAAACTGTTTAGGATAGTCAAGACAGAAGCAGACTGTGAGGGACTCCAAGAAGATCTCACCAAACTGAGTGATTGGGCAACAAAATGGCAAATGAAATTTAATGTGGATAAGTGAAGAGCAGATTTTACAACCTAATCTGTTAGTATAAAATGAAGGTCTGTTTAAAGACAATAGGGATGTGTTATGTACAAGGCCATATGCTTTTAAGCAGCCACTAGGCAATAGATAAACCTGAGTTCTTAGGGAAAGGGTTGGACTCTGGTGGCAGGCATAGTAAGGGACAGGCCAAGCCATGAGCTTTCAAGTGAGAAGTCAGAGGGAGTGTGGGCATGGCGTCAGAGCAGGGTAGGGACTTACATGGTGCCAGTCTGTTTGGCAACCCCCCTCTTTGCCAGGAGAGTGCAACTTTCCCTCCCTGCAGGAGTGGGAGGGGGGAGAGGGTCTGGGCATGGCAGCAGAGCAGGGCGGGGGGTCATATGGCACCCGTATTTTTAGTACTTCCCATTTGCCAAGAGTGCAACTTTTCCTTAACACAGGAGTAAGCGGGCAGGAGTGGAAAGGGGGCGGTCTGGGCGTGCCTGCCCCGGGATCAGTACCTGACTGTGAGACATCCTAGGAGGAGAGAATTGTCTTCAAGGCTATAAAAAGCTCTCAGTGACCTCAGTTGCCCTGTTCACCTGCTGACCATTTCCCTCCTCCTCCTTCACCATGCTGTTCTACGTGCTGCTACCTGAGGCTGCCTAAATTTCTTGGGAGAAATCCATGTACTGGCTAGGGAAGCTGATCCCTCATCTAGGATCGCATGCAGCCACTTATAAAAGTGGCATGTTTGTGGTGATGCTCCAGACCGTCCATTTGCCTCCTTTGTCTTTTGATACAGCTCCTCACTACTTTATTTTCACTCGGCAGTACTTGGTGTCCCTGGCATATCCTTTTTCCACCATGCCCATTGCAATATTGGCATAGATATCTGCACTTCTTTTTGCTGGTTCATAGCTGTGTGAAAAGAGTTTCTTCTCTGCACACAGCAGTGAGACCAGAATTAACTGATAAGTTGAGGCTTATTGGTTGATCCTGTCAACTACACACAACAGAAAGGGGTAAAAATTGTACCTGTATGTGTCCTTTGTCTTAAGTGTACACATAGACTTAGAGCTCTTTAAAGATTAAGCTGTCACTTGGTACCATTATTTCTATTTTCTATCTTTACCTTTTTCCTGTAACCATTTTTAAGATCTCTCTCTATATATTTGCTAGCATTTAAGAAATAGAGCAATAGCCATTGTAACCATATGATTTATAAGCTTCTTTAATAAACCTGTAACTGTTTAAGCTTTAACCTGACTCCTTCAGTTGCTGTAACAGAACCAAGCACAATTTAAAAGAACTTCAGCCGTTCATAAGGGACAGGTATAGGACACACCCTGCCCTGACCGTTGGCTGACCTGTGGGGGAGGGGCCCCCGTACGGGCTCCTCAGCGCTCCGGACTTCCTTCCCTCACGTTCCACTGGCACCATGATACGGACCTAATGGGGGGTGGGGTTCACGTGGGAAAGGGAGGCTCGGGCCCACCCCCCGCTCTCCAAGCCTCAGCCCAGGACCCTAAGGACACAGAGACTCGCTGTCTCTGTCACGGCTGGTGGGGCTGTGGCCCTCAACTCGCCAGCCCATGGGCTTGTACTCCTACGCCCATCCTGGGCTACTTCCTTTCCTCCTACTCCCCCCCCTTTTTAGTGTTCTACGGCGAACTCCTCCCCTTTGACACCTCCTGGTGGGTTGGGTCAAACTCATCCTCCCCCGATCCAGCAGGGGCAAACTCACCCTCCCTTGGTCCAGCGTCCGACACCTGCTTCCTGAAGGCACACCCCACATCTCGAGGCCTCCTCCAAGGTCCTGGCCGCGGCCTCTTGAGAGACCCTCTCCTCTCGTTCTCCACCAGCCCCCTTCGGTGTCCTGTCGCCGGCCTTTTGAAAGGCCTGCTCCTTCTGGGCCCCTCCCCTTGCAGTGGCATCAGGATGTTCCCTCATGCCTGCTCCACCCCCTCTCTTCCCGAACTCAGCAGGCGCTGCACTATCCAGTGCAGGCATTCCTCCCCCGTCTGCACACCACCGGCCGAGGTCCTGGCCTCGCGTCTGCGCCGCCCGGGGCGCTAGTGCAGGGCCGTCTCGCCCCATCAGAGGGATACATCTAGTCTGACTCTATTAGCATAATTAATACTGGTCCTACAATTGACAGATAACTGCTTTTGCTGTTATATATATATCCTGGATTCTGTAATTTCCACTCCAACTCATCTGATGAAGTGGGTTTTATCCACGAACGCTCATGATATATTTTTTAATCTTTAATTTGCTACAGGACTGTTCATTATTTTTAAGTTATAGACTAACATGGCTACCCCTCTGAGACATGAAATGATATGCTAACCAGTAAGAGCATAGCTCTTATCTTATCTACTCAGCTCTCTTAATGTTGTGAGATGCTTTGTTCTCCTAATTTGAACCAAAAAAAGAATAAGCAAAGTAGAATGTATAGGAAAATAATACAATTTTGGGGGAAAACCCGCTTTAAAAACACTTGAAAGGGTTATTTCTAAAATGTGACACTTGTGTCTTTTAATGTTTTTCTCAGTGACTGGCATTACCAAGGGGAGAAGAATCACCTTGCGAGGTTATCAGATTCAGTCCCCTGCCCTCACGGTAGGACCAAGCACCATCTAGATCATGTCTACTCTATATCCTGTGGCAGACCCTGTTCTGAGATGAGCCTGCTTTCCTGTTCATTACAACTTAAAACCTTTATGAATTCATCATCCCAGCGTCTGCTTTGTTTTTCAGCTCCTGAAAACTGGTTGGTTGGAATTCTGTCTCTTACAAGTCTATTAATGCCACTGCTAATAAAAATTATGTACTCATAAGGGAGTTCCATAGCTCTGATATCACAAGCTCAAGACACCCCAATAAGAATCAGATGCTAAGAAAAGCAGTTCAAGGAGTGAATTAAATACAGAAGTAGTGGTATAAGTAATAAGGATGTTAAGAAGTGGGTAACTGACTAATCGTGTACTCAATACAATTTGTAGTACCTCCCCCGTCTGCACACCACCGGCCGAGGTCCTGGCCTCGCGTCTGCGCCGCCCGGGGCGCTAGTGCAGGGCCGTCTCGCCCCATCAGAGGGATACATCTAGTCTGACTCTATTAGCATAATTAATACTGGTCCTACAATTGACAGATAACTGCTTTTGCTGTTATATATATATATCCTGGATTCTGTAATTTCCACTCCAACTCATCTGATGAAGTGGGTTTTATCCACGAACGCTCATGATATATTTTTTAATCTTTAATTTGCTACAGGACTGTTCATTATTTTTAAGTTATAGACTAACATGGCTACCCCTCTGAGACATGAAATGATATGCTAACCAGTAAGAGCATAGCTCTTATCTTATCTACTCAGCTCTCTTAATGTTGTGAGATGCTTTGTTCTCCTAATTTGAACCAAAAAAAGAATAAGCAAAGTAGAATGTATAGGAAAATAATACAATTTTGGGGGAAAACCCGCTTTAAAAACACTTGAAACAGTTATTTCTAAAATGTGACACTTGTGTCTTTTAATGTTTTTCTCAGTGACTGGCATTACCAAGGGGAGAAGAATCACCTTGCGAGGTTATCAGATTCAGTCCCCTGCCCTCACGGTAGGACCAAGCACCATCTAGATCATGTCTACTCTATATCCTGTGGCAGACCCTGTTCTGAGATGAGCCTGCTTTCCTGTTCATTACAACTTAAAACCTTTATGAATTCATCATCCCAGCGTCTGCTTTGTTTTTCAGCTCCTGAAAACTGGTTGGTTGGAATTCTGTCTCTTACAAGTCTATTAATGCCACTGCTAATAAAAATTATGTACTCATAAGGGAGTTCCATAGCTCTGATATCACAAGCTCAAGACACCCCAATAAGAATCAGATGCTAAGAAAAGCAGTTCAAGGAGTGAATTAAATACAGAAGTAGTGGTATAAGTAATAAGGATGTTAAGAAGTGGGTAACTGACTAA